CGTGGTTTAGTGAAAACGACCTCGGGCCAAAACCTGGCGGGCGCAAGCCTGGAAAATAACGGCCACGGCGCCCTCTCGAGAACCGAAAACATACAATGCACTAATCGACGTGTCACTGTTGGGGGCTCTGTCCACCCCCGATTCTTTCTTACTCGTGGAGAGGACACCGGACCCCCCCGGCGACAGCCGCCTCCGGAGGCAGCGCGCCCTAGACCCTGTGCGAGGGACGAGCGCGGGAAGAGGGGAGCGGGGAAGGCGGGCACCCTCGCCGCACGGCGAGGCGAGCGCCCACGCGCCCGGGAGGCGCGTGCGCGGCTTCTCGGAGGGAGTCGACAATCGACCCTGGAGGGTTCCAAAGGGAGGTTGGGGGGGAGGGGGTTTTCCAGAGAGCCCCCCATCGGCAGTGGACAAACCTACCTTTTGTAAACCTCCCCTTAGTGAAAACGGCTTGGGACCGAAACCGACGGACCTGGACCCGCAAGAATGACGGCCGCGACGCCCTCTCGCGAACCGAACACGGCCAATTCCTTAATCGACGTGTCAAGGTAGGAGGTCTGTCCACCCCCGAGTTCTAAAGGGAGGTTTGGAGGGAGGGGGTTTCCCAGAGAGCCCCCCAGGGGCCTCGGAGCCTCGTCAAAACAGAGGGTGAGAAGCCCCTGGGGGACCCCTCCTGGAACACCCCCTCCCCCCCCAAAAAAACCCTTTGGACCCCTACGGGGGGGGGGGCCACGAGAGGACCCGGAGCTTCGGCGCCCCAAATGGGTGCGAAAAAACGGGCACGATGCCCAGCAAGAAGCATTGCCCAAAACCGACAGCGGCCGCTGCTGGGCAGGCGGCATTGAAGGGGCCCTGGGACACACAAATAACAGGGTTCCCCATATTTTCCTATATTTTTGGGGTTTTTGTCTTCCCCCCCACTTCCCATATTTTCCCATATCTTCTGGGGAGTCGACGATCATTTGTGTCTGTGTGTTGTTTCCCCTCCTGAGGCATTCTGTCTCAGACGGTCGCGGCCCGCGGCGGCACCGGCAGCAATAGCCTGCTCAGAGTGGACAGGAACTGCTGTCGGTCTGCGCACCGCAGGTTCGTGTCGTGCCGACTTCGCCGTCGGCTTCTGACACCACGGGGATCGTTACAGTGGAGGCCAGTCTGCAAGAAACCTTCCACAAGAAACCCAACCCTGAGACCCCAGGACTTTCATTGATTTTTGGTGTGGGAGTGTCACGCTCTCCCCAAAAAAGCACTGCAACAAAAGAAACCCAGGGCACCCTGGAGGCAAGCAGGGTGTTTCTTGGCATGGGCCCTCACTGTAAACCTTGAACGATCGGCCGTTTCCGAAACGTCAGCTCATTCAACATCGACCGATTCGGGGTCGCCAGCGGTTCAACGTTGAACGCCGGCGGCGGGGTCGCCGCCGGTCGACAGGACGCGAACCCACCGTGCTAGTAACCCATTCTTTTTCGCTTCTGGGTAGCGTACCCCTTCTTTCCGAACCCACTTCGACGCCCAGGGCGGCGAGCCTTCGGTGGCAACTCATGGGAGCCTCCCATACCATCTTGTCGGCTCTTGCGAATCGACGCTACATCGACGCTAAATCGACGCGAACTGGCGAGACGACGCCGAGCCGGCGCTATCTCATCGACTCCCAGACGCTAATCGACGCCAATCGACGCCAAAGACGACATTACGAGGGCGCACAAGGCTCCCATGATTTGCTACCGAAAAAAAACCTTCTCCCCCGAAAAAAATCCTTGCTCGCGCACGCTGCGTATTATGAGACAGCCGACGTGCAGTCGCTCCCGCAAAGCGGCGAGTTCAGGCTGGCATTGTCTTTTGCCCACGCGCTCCGGCGTATGGCAGTTCGTTCGATCGCTCGTTCTCCGAGCCCACCTCGACGGCCCCCGAGGGAGGGGCGCCGCCCGGCGAGAGAGCGCGCGAGGCGGCGGCCGCGCCCCGCCGCCTGATGAGCTCCAGCGCGCAGGCGGCGTGCTGCACGGCCTCCCGGGCCCGTCTCCCCCGAGCATTCGGTCGGGCAGTGTCCCCCTGCAGGCGGATCTTGGACGACAGACAGGCCTCGGAACAAATTAGCGAACACATGCCACATTCATCCGTCAACGCCTCCCCCTCCACCCAGTGTTCGTTTGGGGGGGAGGGGGAGTGTTCAGTAATTGTTTCCCTCTACCGGATGAAGAGCACTCCAAAAAGATTCAAAAACAATCCAACGTGTGAGCGTCATCTTACTCGGCGTTTCGACACTGGGCGGAAGGGGAGGGGGAGCTCTGGCTTCGAGCCTCTACTTAGTGCGACTGTTTGCAGCAGTGTGTCCATTATGGGGGAGACTGCGCCTGCTTGGAAAAGGCGACAAAAACGGCCGAGATCTACTCCAGGGAGGGGGTGGGGAAGGGGGGGGGTGCGACGAGCCCGCGCCGATCGGCAAAACAATGAATAAAAAAACAATCACAGTAGTCGAAAATCGTCACCAGACGATGTATTGACCATTGCTGAATACTCCTCCTGTCGAAGGACATGCCCGACTTCACCCGAGCAGCGTTCAGCGAACCGGCCTGGGCCTGGCGTGGACCGGGCCCCACACAGGCGAGCGGCACCCACCCACGAGGGGGGGACGCTGAAGGGGCCAAAGCACACCCAGAGAAATCAGTGCACACGAAGATCTCAGGATTCTCCAGCAGCTCCCCATCGTTTCTGGATTCTCGTCGTCCCCCCCATCGTTTCTGGGGACTCGACGAATTGTGTCTGTGTGTGTGTTTGTTGTCTCCCCTCCTGAGATATAGGCTGTTCCCTGCGGGTTTCGATGGGTATCGTCCCCAACTGGGGTGCCGAGGTCGTCGGACTCGGGGCGAGGATGGGGGCAGGGGTCGGTCAAACGATACTCATCCCCGCAAGAGGAGGCTCAGGTCGGAGTTGTGGAGTGTTCTAGTCTTCATCCCTGGCCAAACAAATCCGCACGAAATTCACATCGAAATCCGGAACGAATCCCACCAGCCCTCTGGGCGTCGGTGGTTTAGAGCGTTTCCTCTTCCACCCCTCCTTCTTCCCCTTCGGGGAAGGGTTTACCCCTCCCCCTACCCCCTCCCCACTGACCTGGACAGGGGGTTCCGCGGCGCGTTGGAGCGCCCAAGATCGACCCCTGGGAGGGCTAAAATTCGACACCCCTCACGAGGATCGTGGCTCCAGAGGGGGGGGCTGTAATTAGGGAACCCCCCTTCGTTGATCGATCTCCTCCAAGACTGGCTCCGAGAGGAGCGCCCCCAAAGAGGACGACCCCACCCATCGAGCCCCCAAGAGACCCCCAAGAGGCCCCAAGAGACCCCCCAAGAGGCTCCCGTGAAGAAGCCCCCATGAGCCCAAGAAGCGCCCAGAGAGTCCCCCAAAGGGCCCAAGATGGCCCCAAGAGGCCCCAAGAGGCCCCCAGGAGGCCCCAAAGAGGCTCCCGAACGGCCCACAGAGCCCCCCCCGAGGCACCCAAGACGCCGAAAAGCCCCTCAGGACGACCCTCTACTCGCCTGGGCGTCGTTTCTGGACGGGCTGGTGGGGATACGCGAAGCGTCTAGAATTCTCCAGGCCTCCTCCTCCTCCTCCTCCTCCTCCTCCTCGTCCTCCTTCTCCTCCTCTTCCTCCATTCCTTTTCCTTTTAAATAACTTCTCCCTGTCGCACCGCGAGGCCAGTTTTTAGGGCGGGCTGGGCATTTCGCCTGAGACTTCCTCACCAATCGGCAACATGTTCACAGATAGGGGGCGGGGGTGTTTTCAAAACGTGGCTCTCTCATGAGCGCTGCGCACATTCGTTTGAAAAACTTGCCAGAGTTTCACGGACTGAGGGCGACTGGTTTTCAACATGTGGCTCTCGCCTTAGCGCAGTGCACATTCGTTTTAAAAATTTGCACCAGAGTTTCACGAACTGAGGGCGACTGGTCTCCTAAATGTGGCCTTCGCCTTAGCGCCGCGCACATTCGTTTTTGAAATCTGCAAGAATTTAACGGATTGAAGGCGGTTCCTTTTCAAAATGTGGCTCTCGCCTTCGCGCCGCGTACATTCGTTCTAAGACTTTGCACGAGCTTGACGGATTGAAGGCGGCTCCCCGCACAGTCGTTTGTCCATCTACAAGAGTTTCACGGGTTCCCATAATCAACGTACCAGATCTGGTATGTTGGAAAGACTCAGGATTATGCGGGTGCAACAGTTACGTTGATTCGCAGTGTTGAAGTCCCGAGAATGGGGTTCTGGCACGGTTCAGGCTCGTCAAGACGCAACACTCAGGTTGATCCATGACGTTGGAATCCCGAGAACCATTTTTTGGCATGCTTCAGAACCTTCAAATGGCTGTCTTCCGACGAGGCAGTTCCCTCAGTGGGGATGAGCCGTGGTAGGAGCCTGCGAAGAGGGAGCCTGGAGGGAGGGATTATTCTAACATCGTTGGTGATTCTTGGGTTTACACTGGTCCTCCTCCTCCACCTCGTCCTCCTCCTCCTCCTCCCCGTCCTCCTGCTCCTCCCAGCGGATTCTCTCGGCCGCCACGGGGGGGCCTCCGCAGGGCGCCGCGCCCCTTGGCATTATCCAGGGGCGCTCGGCGGCCTCGCGGGGCCGCCGTGGCCCCCGTGGGGCTCACCTCGCGGGCCGCTCCGGGCCCAAACAGGCCCCAAAGGCACCCTGGCAGGCGACGGGCAGCGTCTTGACGCGCATGCCCATGGAGCATGCAGTCGGCCCGTATCCGAGGGATGCACGATGAGCATGCAAGGGCCCTGGACGCCCATGTCGAGGCCTTTCGAGCGGGGCGCGGCACACGGAAGTGGCCAAGGATGGACCGAGGAGGCAAAGACGCGAGAGTACACCTGGGAAGGTTGCCCATCCTTACTATGCGGGTTGACTGCATGCATGCGCGCACGCAGCATGATGCACCCGCACGCACAACACACACCTGTACGCAAGGCTCGCTTCATCCAGACATTCAACCGTGGGACGTAATGACGGTCTGGTAAGCGTGCACCACACGTGAACATTCATCCGTGCGAACCCGTCGCAATCGCGGATGGGCCGCCTTGTCGTGCTTGTCCAATTTAGACAGAATCCACTGGCCCACGGCGCTGGGCAGACCATTAGCTGTGTGAAGCAATACTTTCACGATCACCAGTGAAGAGGACGCCCTCTGACCAGAGGATGCCCTACCTCGAGTGCGTAAATCTACAGCTGCCAGGCCGCCAAGAAAAGACAGGCTGCACAGGACGCCATCGCTTCGACCCCCGGTCCAAGCCTCATCCTTTCCCACCTTGCTCCCACGTGGGGACGGAGGCGGAGGGAGGATTGGACCGTCGGTCATCGCGAGAGCTTCCTGCTGTGTTGTTTCTCCTGGTTGGAGCCATGGACAGGTGCCTGCCGCGGGATGCCAAAGGCCCCATGGATGGCACAGATGTTCAGATGAGTCCCAGCTACGGTCACATCGTCGGTCTGGAGGTTCACCTCGCACGCCAGCCGCATGGGCATGAAAACACAGAGACGACAACCACCACTGCATCCAGTTGGAAGCGGCGCACTGGAACAGAGAATTCTGTCGAATAGTGCATTTGCTCCCAGCGGCTAGTGGATTCTAGAAGTCGGGCGCTCCTGTTTGCGATGCCCCTCTGCAAACTCTCACAAATATAAACAGGTGCTGCCCCTGCTGCAATCTAGCTCAGAAATGCGCTGGTGCTGGAGAATTACGTAATCAGAGAACCCAGAAAAAGAACAAGACGGCCCGCGCACGATATCCCGAAGGCGACCCAGGGTCCCTGAAATTCGCCGGCGTGGCAGTAGATGTTGCCTGATCCTCCTCCTCTACTCTTCCTCCTCTTCGTTCTCCGGATTCGCTACCTCTGCCTCCAAAGCGTCAATTCAATGAGGCTCTTTCGCCGAGCTACCATCCACAACATCCCCGACTCCTGAGGCCTCCGTGTCGGCTTGTTGGGGCAGAAATGTCCAACTCATACGAGATCTCTGGCCATCGGGCCGCGTGTGGCCACCGCACAAAAAGAGCAGCCGACACGTGCCGACAGGCATGAGCCGGAGCTCGACATGCGTCCGCCGCGTTGTGACATGCTCCGGAAAACAGCCTCAGAGACTTAGCTGCGGAGCCCAGACGGACACAGATGTCGACCCTCCTCTTACATGCGCACCTCTCTTTGATCACTGACCGACACCTTCGCGCAGACCATGCAGCAACGAATCAGGCGTGGATCCACAGCACACGCACAACGGCCGCCATCGACATGTCCAACAACGGGCGGCGCTGCTGAGGCAGGAGTGGTCTCGTCCGCATCAGCATCAACATCTCAGCATCGTCATCGACACCGCCATCGTCATCATCAGCAGCAGCAGCAACTGCTTCTGCTTATTAAACATCATCATCAACAGCAGCAGCATCATCATCAGCAGCATCATCAGCAGCATCCGCAACCTCCTCATCCTCATCCTCATCCTGATCCTCCTCCTCCTCATCATCATCACCTTCATTATCGACGCCGTCATCTTCATCATCATCATCATCATCATCATCATCATCAGCATCAGCATCATCATCAGCATCAGCATCATCAGCAGCATCAGCATGATCATCAGAATAATCAACAGCATCATCATGATCATCATCATCATCAACATCAGCAGCATCATCATCATCATCATCAGCAGCAGCATCATCATCATCATCATCAGCATCAGCATCATCATCAGCATCAGCATCATCAGCAGCATCAGCATGATCATCAGAATAATCAACAGCATCATCATGATCATCATCATCATCAACATCAGCAGCATCATCAGCAGCATCATCATCACAATCATCATCATTATCAGCATCGTCATCCTCGTAGTCGTCGTCCTCCTGCTCCTCATCCTCCTCCTCCTCATTCGATTCATCCTCATCAGTATCCTCAGCATCTTCAACAGCATCAACATCATCGACATCATTGGCACCACCATGATCACCATTAGTCATTATTACCATAACGATCATCAGCAGCAGCATTTTCATCATCGTCGTCGTCGAAATCATCAAATGCATCAGCATCATCACCTCGACCATCAGCATCCCTGTCATCATCGCCATCCACATCATCCTATTCGGCCCCGTCATCATCGTCAATAGTCATCCTACACATTAGCATCATCATAATAAGCATTATCGTCATCATCATCATCATCATCATCATCATCATCATCATCAGCAGCATCAGCATCAGCACTCACATCAGCAGCACAACATCATCATCGATCATCATCATCATCAACAACAACATCATCATCATCATCATCATCATCATCATCATCATCATCATCATCATCATCATCATCATCATCATCATCATCATCATCATCATCATCCTCGTAATCAGTATCGTCATCATAATCGTCATCATAATCATCGTCATCATCATCCTCATTATCATCAGCAGTATCATCATCACCACCATCATCATCATCATCATCATCATCAGCAGCATCATCAACATCATCACTATTATCATGTCATCGTTCCTGGTCCCTCCTCCTCCTGCTGCCTCCTCTTGCCTCTTACATCCCTCCTCCTTCATCCTCCTCCTCCTGCTCGTCCTCGTCCTCCGGCGAGCATCGCCAGCCGACAAGGACGGATATCTCCTCATACTCGCCTACCTCTCCTGCTGCTAATCCCCCCTCTTCCTCCTTGTGCTCTTCGTTCTCCTCCCTCCTCCCCCCTCATCACTCATGCTCTCTCATCTCTCCACATCCCCTGCCCCTCCTCCTCCTCCTCCTCCTGCCCCTCCATTCCTTTTCCTTCTTAAAACTCCTCCCTGTCGCACCCCGAGGCCTGTCGAAAGGGCGGGCCGGGCGTTTCGCCTGAGACGTCCTCACCATTTATGACCCAGAAGCTTAGAAACTGGCAGTAGTTTGACGAATTGAAGGCGGGTGATCTTCAAAATGTGGCTCTCGCCTTAGCACCGCGCACATACGTTAACAAAAAATGTAAGAGTACCACGGATTGAAGGCGGGTCGTTTTCAAAATGTAGCTCTCGCTTTAGCGCCGCGCACATTCGCTTCAAATATTCGCACGAGGTCACGGATTGAAGGCAGCTCTTTTTCAAAATGTGACTCTCGCCCTAGCGCCGCGCACACTCATTTCTATGATTTACCAGCGTTTCGCGAATTCCCATGATCAACATGCCAGAATTTTTGTTCTGCAGGACTCAGGATTGTGAGGGTCTTCAAACGGTCGTCTCCCAACGAGGCATATCCCTGTCGACATGAACCTCTCTAGGGTCTACGAAAAGGGAGCTTCGAGAGAGGGTTTACTCCAACATCGTTGATGAGTCTTGCGTTTCCACTGTTCCTCCTCCTTCTCCTCCTCCTGATCCTCCTCCTCCTCCTACCGCTCTTCCTCCTCATCCTCGATCTCCCTCGCCCTCCCTCTCTTCCTCCTCCTCCTCGTGCTGCTCCTCCACCATCCTCGTCCTCCTTCGCCGAATCTTGCGACGTGGTCCACGAGGCGCGTTTCGCTTCCCCTTGCACCTCGTCCTCCTCATCCCTCACTCCCTCACTCGCTCACTCCGTCACTCCATCCATCGTCGGAATCTACTGACCTAGGTCAGTCCAGACCCGGGTCAGTCAGGCGTTGCAGGATCCTGCAGGATCCTGCACCCAAACCTAGGTCCAAGCGGCCCTGGCTCTGCAGGATCCTGCAAGATCCGGCGCTCTGGCTGACCTCCGTTTGCATTGACCGTCTCTTGATCGGGGGCGCGCAAACATGGATTAGCGATCCATGGATTTGGCGCGCGGTCGCCAAATCCATGGATCGGGGGAGGTGCCCTCCCCAGAATGCGGCTGGTGCCGCCCCGTTCGGCGGCAGAAATCCGCAATGTTCCATCCATGGAAACGGAACCCGTCGCTAATCCACGCCCACTTGATCAATGCTTGCGATCGCCTGATAGGAGGCCTAGAGTTAGGACGGGCATGTCCCCCTACAGGCGGATTCTGGAAGAAAATGGAAAAATAATCGAAACAAATTCAAAACTAGCCTAGAATATTAGAAAACTCGTCCCCAGACTATGTTTTGACTGTTTTTGAAATTTTCTCCTGTGGAGGGACGTGCCCGACTTAAGCCTGGAGTCTCTTGAGCCCCGGCGCATCGCTCCTTCCTCCTGGCCTCCGAGGCTCCCTTCCTCCCCCCGCTCCCAGGCCACTCCCCCTCCTCGATCCTCCTCGTCGATCCTCAATCCTCCTCCTCATCGATCCTCCTCCTCGGTCCTCTTCCTCCTCCTCCTCCTCCTCCTCCTCCTCCTCCTCCTCTCCTCCACCTCCCCCCCCCCTCCTCCTCCTCCCCCTCCTTCCTCCTCCTCCTCCATCCTCTTCCTCCTCCTACCCCTCCTCCCCCTCCTCCCTCTCCCTCCTCCCTCTCCCTCCTCCTCCCCCCTCTTCCTTCTCCCCCCCCCTCCCGCTCCCGGAGCGGCATCGCGGCGGAAGAGGGCGGCGAGGAGAGACCCCGGGGAGCTGTGCGTCGAGGCGGCCGGCGAGGGCACGGCAGAGGGGGGAGCAGTCCCCGAGCACGGCAACGCCGCCGCCGCCGCCGCCGCCGCCGCCGCCGACGACGACGACGACGACGACGCCGCCGCCGCCGCCGCCGCCGCCGCCGACAACGGCGACGACGGTTGAACGAAACGACGACGACGACGACGACGACGACACGAACGACGACGACGACGACGACGACGACGACGACACGACCGACGACGCAGACGGGCTTTCCCCGCCCGCCGGCGAGAGGAGCCTCGTCAGAGGCCCCCGTTCGCGTGAAGTCGGGCGCTGGAGCCTCGCCCCCCCCCCCCCCCCTCGAAACGCCTTCCTCTGGCAGGGTGCGGGGGGGGGGGTCCCGGAGAAGTACAGAGAGGACACTGGCACCGCCGTTCCCCACATTCTCTCCTGGGGAGCCCTCCGACTGTGCTCTCCTACTCCGAGGTCCAGCGCCGACTCCACAGAATCCGCGCGGACCTTCGAGGGTTGTGCTGATCCCCAGTGCGGTGAGAAGGCAAGCCTCCTGACCCCAGGAGAGGAGGAGGAGGAGGAGGAGGAGGAGGAATTTACAGGAGGACAAGGAGGCGGCACACGAGGACTGGGAGTACAGTGGACATGGAGGCAGAGACGGTACAAGACGAGAGGAAAGCAAGAGGAGGAAGAGAGCAGGAGGAGGAGGGCGCCGCCTCAGCAGAGCTGTCCCGACTACGGGGATGGGCGCGCAGCGACGTAGCGCCCGGTTGGGGACGTCCAGGAGGAGGAAGAGAGAGAGGAGAAGAGGGGAGAGGAGGAGAGGAGAGGAGGAGAGGACGAGTGAGTGGAGGAGGGGAGGAGAGAAGGGAGGAAAGGAAGGAGAAGGAGAAGGAGAAGGAGAAGGAGAAGGAAAGTGAGAAGGAGAGGAGAGAAGGAGAAGGAGAATGAGACCGGAGAAGGGAGGAGGAAGGAGAGGTGGAGGAGGAGAGGAGGGATAGGAGGAAAGGAGGGAGGAGAGAGAGAAGGAGGACAGAGGAAAGGAGGTAAGGAAGGAGGGGAAGGGAGAGGAGGGGAAGAAGGGAGCACGGACGGGGGAGGAAAGACGGAGGATTTAAAGAAGGAGGAGTAAGAACGGAGGAGGACGAAAGAAAGATGGAGGAGGGAAGAAGGAGGATGGAGGAGGGAAGGAGGCCGAAGAAAGAGCAGTAGAAAAGCGGCGGAAGGAGGACGGATGATGATAGGCAGACAGGAGAAGGAAGGAGGAGGAGGAGGAGCAGCACGGAGGAGGACGGAGGATGACAGGAAGAGGATGACGAAGACAAAGGAAAACGGAGGACGAGGGGGACAGAGGTGGCGGAATAGCTGAGAATCTGCGGGCCTCAATCTTCAGACTCTTTCGGAGGTAGCTCAAGGCCGCGTGCAGCTTGCCCACCTGTACGCACCGGAAAAAAAGCCACAGGCGCCGGGACAGAGGCAAGCTGGAACGGCGAGGGCGGCTGGGCAGGGCTGGGAGAGTCGATGCGAGAGGCAGACAAATTCGGACCCTGAACGGTCAACAGAGATTCGGGGACACAAGAGAAAGGGGCCGGAGTGTATGGCACGCTCTCAGAGGGGGCGGAGCCCCCCGAGCGGAGACCGCTGGAGAAGAGTGCATTGGTGAAGAGGCCCCACGGGCAGGCTATGCAAGCAAGGTATCATAACAGGCAGCCACACCGCACACTCCCGTCTCCTCCTCCTAATCCTCCTCCTCATCCTCATCCCAATCCTCATCCTCATCATCATCCTCCTCCTACAACTCCTCATCGACCTCCTCTCCTCCTTCTCCTCCTCATCCTACTCCTCCTCCTCCTCCTCCTCCTCCTCCTCCTCCTTCTCCTACTCTTCCTCCTCCTCCTCCACCTCCTCCCCCTCCTCCTCCTCTGCCTCTTCCTCATCCTCGGCCTGCAAAAACAAAGCAAGGGCAGAACACTAACATCATCATCAGCATCAGCATCAGCAGCATCAGCATTATTATTATTAGTAGTATTATTAGTATTATTATTATTATTATTATTATTATCATCATCATTATTATTATTACTATTACTATTACTATTATTATCATTATTATTGTTATTATTATCACTATTATTATTAGTATTATTATTATTAATAATATTATTATTATTAGTAGTAGTAGTATTCTCCCTCATCATCATCATCATCATCATCATCATCATCATCATCATCATCATCATAGTCATCAAAAACATCATTATCATAATCATCATCATCATCATCAGCAGCATCATCATCATCATCATCATCATCATCATCATCATCATCATCATCATCATCATCATCATCATCATCATCATCTAGTCATCATCATCATCATCATCATCATCATCATC